GAGAGAGAGAGAGAGAGAGAGAGCGCGCTGTATTTCTTAAACAGTGGAATAAGCCTGTACCTGCTGGAACCGGAATGATTCTGATCTCTTTTTCTGGTTCAGTTGCCACTCCTTAAAATGAAGCACAGCTTCATCAACGGTGAGTATGCCCATTTTCACTTGCTCCTGTAACGTAATCAGCTGCCGTTGACCTGGGGTTTTCATTCCAGCAAATGGATCATATATGCTTGATTGAGACAGGTCCCTTACAGGCCTGACTATTGTCTCTGAAAAGAGAGGAACACCAAAAATATTATTGAACATGTGGCATCTGCCCTCCTCACTGCATACACAGAAACTCAAGCACCCCAGATACAGCAGACATTAAAAAAAATAAAAAAATATCAATGCTACAAACTGAATGTTTCCCTAACCAGAAGAGTGTTTTGTCCTTACGCCATCCTGCTACTTGTCAGGGCTAAAAGCCCAGCTGAGAGGCAGCCTTGTATACAAATATGTACCAGGGATAATCTCTATTCTTAAAAACATAATTTAAGTGAACAGCACAAAACATACTCCTGTAAGTGTTCTGCTTCCTCACTATAAAAATATCTCTCTCAGCAATCTACAGAACAGAGCTTTCACCTTGGCAGTCACAAAGCTAGACTTCTTCTTAGGGAGCCCTTGCAGAGTTACTCCAGAAACAGAAAAATGAAAACTCATCCCACTAATGCTGGTTCTTTGGAACTCATTTGCAAGTTAAAGAGGAGTTCCCAACACATGTGATAAAAGCTCAAATGTGTTTCCAGGCACTCCGATAGTGCACAGAATGAGAGGTGAAAGAAGAAGAAGATCACAGTTTTGCAAGCGCAGAGATCAATGGCAAGCAGTTCATTAAAGGTTAAATCTCAGGAAATAATGATTAACAGGCAGTGACGATATCCAGAAGATCAAAAGTGGGTCATCAGCTCCATGAAGTTATATGTGTCACAGCATAGAAAACTACTTCAACGACCATTATGATCCTGACTGAGGATAAACTCCAAGACAGGGGATATGTACAGTATGTGATAAAAGGATACCCCCCTCACACTCTGCAGTTACAAAATGTTTCCAATGCCACCTAAGGTCAGAAAGCTTGGGCCATCCATATAGGACTATTATCCTCAGAGCCTTATAAAACAGATTATTCTGTCACGTTTCACACAAATTAAGCTACTTCAGCAGATTTGCTTTTGGATTACTGGAAAGATTTTCAGGGTGACCTTCTGACTTACCTTTCTTAACCCTTCCTCTAGGGACATAGAGATTCTCAGGTCTTTGAGCTTTCTGTGCAAAAACTGTAAAAAAAAAAACCTCTTTAGATACTGAAATGCATCTCATGAAGACAGAAATAGCATGGATGCTGCATTTATTTGGCAACTGAAGCCCGGGTCAAGGCCAGTCCACAGTTTAGATCCTGGTACCCAACTCACTTTTGGAGATGTATAGCTCATTGTCAGGCTGTGGAGAGCTGGATTCTGGTCTTGGAACAGGAACAGGAGGTCTGCTGGCCATCTCCTGTGGAAAAGTATCTTGTTCCACTGAGTAGTATACATCTTCACCATACTGTTCGTAAACTGAATCTGGTGCATCCGTGCTACTGCCTACAACACAGTAGAGTTTGTAAGAAAAACAACCTGGCCACTTCACCGAACACTGGATACTTCCAGACGCACTACGTATCACATTCTTACCGAGCTGGCCATTTCACAGGCAGAAACATCCAGTTTTTCAGTGACTTAAAGTGCCAAAGCCCTTCAAGACAGGACTTGATAAAGTCATTAACATCTAGTAACACGTGTTTACCATTAAGCCTGTACCATCTGTTATAGTAAAGACACCATAGTGAAAAATCTTGTAACTGTTTTTAAGAACTCAAGGAACAGTTAGTTCCATTAATTCCAGTTAATTAACATATTATAACAGTTAAATCAAACAGAGCAGTGGTTTCCAAAAGCTACTTATGGTGGTCTACAAAGTAATACCAAATTATTCCTTTGTCTGAAATGAGCAATCACCATCAGCTGACAATATATTGGATCTCAGAACAACATGGCTCAGAGGTAGCTGGGTACACGTCTGTACTTAACAAGCCCAGCTACCATTATACCACCTCATTATCTCACAGAATCACAGAACATTAGGGATTGGAAGGGACCTCAAAAGCTCATCCAGTCCAATCCCCCTGCCGAAGCAGGAACACCCAGGTGAGGTTACACAGGAAGGCGTCCAGGCGGGTGTTGAATGTCTGCAGAGAAGGAGACTCCACAACCTCTCTGGGCAGCCTGGTCCAGTGCTCTGTCACCCTCACTGAGAAGGAGTTTCTTCTCAAATTTAAGTGGAACCTCCTGTGTTCCAGTTTGTGTCCGTTACCCCTTGTCCTATCATTGTTTGTCACCGAGAAGAGCCTGGCTCCATCCTCGTGACACTCACCCTTTATATATTTATAAACATGAATGAGGTCTCCCCTCAGTCTCCTCTTCTGCAAACTAAAGAGACCCAGCTCCCTCAGCCTTTCCACATAAGGGAGATGCTCCACTCCCTTAATCATCTCCATTCTATTCTCACTCCTAACACAACTGCAAAACCATCAAATTACGTCATATCCAATTTAAAAGTTTCCCTCTGTCTGTATGCTAGCAAGAAGAATTAAGAGCTCCTGGACTAATTCCCTATTCTGTTTGTTACCAAGTCACAAGTGAATACCCTAACCACTGGACTGCCTTTCCTTTAACAATGTTGTAACACCTAGTTGAGTCAATGCAATGGAACTGCCAGAGCATTGGTGTTGGCAGGGGAAACAGAAGAAGATATTGAGACCCCCAGACTTAATCTTGCTCCGAGTCCAGCTGTGTCACCCACAAAAAGTGAGTGTGTATCCTACGGAACCCAGTGAGTCGGGAAAAGGCTTAGACAACCCAATCATGCTCAGTGGGGATAACATGGAGCTAAGGTCTGGCTTTGGTCAGAGAAGGCAGAAGAAGCACTGAAGAGACAGAGCATAGATCAGGTTTGGGAGCTTGCAGTTCTGTTCCTCTTTCCAGGCTGATTTTTTTAATTGATGGACTTTTGAATAAAGCATCTACATTAAAAATTCATCACTAGCTTGTGCTCTCTACTTTACACTCAGCCTCTGCCCAGGAGGGGAGCCTGCATCCACATCAGGACACATGAATTAATATCCATCAGCACGATAAGGACAAAAGACAGCCATTCCTGAGTAGATACCAGCTGTGTGCTTGCCCTCACTGGTATGCAGGAACTGGAACTAGAAATCATTCCTCCTCTTCAGGAAGAAACTGATCACACTTATGAAACCACCTCACAAGCTGCTTTTTTCTGTTGTGCCTCATTTGTACCCACTAAAGCAAGGCTGTCCATGTCAAACAGCACGGACTAACTCCTATCCTTAACAGACCAAGGAGAAATCTGAAGTTCCATTTAATTGCTTTAACTGTGCTACTGCCATCCCTCTCTCCAAACAGGTCTTACCTTCTAAAAATTTGCGGAGCATTGAGTCTTTTGTAGTTAGAGAAACTTCATTTCCAGCAACTGGAGTGTCTGGTTTGGACTGAAGCATCTCCACATCTGGAAAAAATCAGAAAGATTAACCTGTTGATTATGCCCTTAAACATGTGGAACAATGTAACAGAATATAATAAAATGATGTGATCTTTCTGACTGGACCTTTGGTTTACGGTGAAAATCAAAGAGGAAGCCCTCTGCACAAATCTCTGCCAGCTGCCTGATGCTTATGCTTAAGGGTGACTGATGCTGCTTACTGAGAAGTCCTGACAAGGTTCCAAGCAGGCACTGAGGATTAGCTGTTATTGAGAGTGTGTTGGCCAGGTGAAGGTTTTGGCCTCTGCACAGTGCTCCTGAGAGGACAAACTGAGTGGAAACACTGTGATTTGGCAAAACAAGACATTAAGGGCAATTTACCCATGACACAGAAGATAGTATTTGTTTAGTTTATTGCATAAAATTCAAAACAACTGGCTGAATTAATCAGTTGGACTGGGAGGTAGTTAGAGAGTCAGGTGATAATTTAGTATTGAGAAAGGAGTGACAGCAAACTATAAAATACTTGGTTAAGTCAGTGTTTTGACATGGAGAATTCTGATTTAAAAAAAAGAGTCAAACTTATTGTAACTGTAAAACTAACCCTAAAACTAAACTGGTAGGTAACTATGCTCCCAATGATATTAAAACCAAGAGTGATATAAATTAATTGTTGAGACTTATTGTGAAATATCTATTACTATGTAAACTAGATGGTTTAGGTTACATGAAAGAACATGAAATATTTCTCTACAAACATCTTTTAAATATTTGCTGATCTTTCTTATTTTTTTTCCTGCAAGGCTGAAGAGATTACAAGAAAGGGACAAGAATACGCTAGCAAGATTTTGCTTTGTTAGAATGTTGTGGGGGTTTTTTAAACAATAATTGTCAAAGAATCCACTGACAGTCACGTGAATGCAGCCAGCCTAGCTTTAACCTCACAGGAATACCTCCAGCATAGCCACAGCAATACTGCATGCTGTGTGGACTAACTACATCACAGCAGCTTCTCAAGAGCTCTGCAGTCCATGCCAAGCTGCAAGCTGCTGGAGCAAGTCTGCTCACCACCAACCTAACATAAAGTTCATTTAAGTATGGCTGCACTAAAAGGAAGCACAGATTTGACATTTGAGCATCCTAAAGAATCAGCACTACAGACCTGTATTTCTCTGTAGAGTGATTTTTCCACCCTGCAGTCACCTTGATTATTTTTAACATAGCTTTTAGAAATGAACCTGTACCAAATACAGGCCCAGAGGAAAGCCACTACTTTATGGATTTGGGGGCAGAACAGAATGCAAGAGGTGTACAAAGTTCCTTTCATTCTCTGTGGAGGGAACAGCACCTTCCCAGTTTTGGCTGTGGTCTGCAGGACTACTAACCAGCAGTGCAATAGGATACTGCAGGGTTTGTTTTCTATCATATAGTTAATGTAGTTAAATTCATCAACTAATTAGTTTTCCTTAGAAGACATGATTGCCACCTCACTACCCTCTTGCACAGGGGCCTGTCTTATGTACAGATGAGACCTAACATCTCACCCATGTACCAAAATTGAGAAGAAGTTCTCAACTTCATCGACACCTTCTGTTCCAATTACTGCAAAGCTCGGCTAGTGAGATAGGAATGACAAGAAGGTGGCACACACAAACTTTGGGTATAACAGGAAAGGTCCTCAGACTTTTCTGAGGCTATTGGGGAAAGTTGGTCTGAAAGGTTAGTGGGAAGAGGGTTAAGTAGTTCTCCAGTGTCAGAATTTAGTAGCTAAAAGATATTCATTCAAAGAGTTTCAGTTTCCCTTGGCAGGGTTTAAGGCTTCAGAAGGGAGCTCAACCAAGCTGTGAGCAGACAGACATACAGAAGATGAGTTGTGATCTACAGACCCTTCACAAGAGCTAAAATATCCATGCGGGGGCACCCTTTAGAAAGTAATAACACCCTTCCGCTTTTAAACATTTGAACACATTGGGTATTCTTGCATGTGAAGCAGGCTACCACTTTACAGAGACCAGTCCTTTATTGTACAAGACAAAGGCTTCAATGCCTTGGCATAAATCACAACTCAGGACTTCCTAAGCAGTTATTATTTTGTGCAAAATTTTCTCAGCAATAACAAGGAGGCTGCTGTTTCTGCATTAACTAAGGAAAAAATAAAAATCAACAAGGACAGTGTTGAAAGCATAGCCTCAAGAGAATAAAAATTGTGGAAGAGGGAGAGGACATGCAAGAGAGTAGAATAAGGGCATCACAACCTATATGTGAACTAACATATACTCTTCAGGTGTCGGAGGTCTGCGTATTACAGGACAATAGATATTAGTTGGCTGAAACTCTCTAGGATAAAGGATTCCATTTCTGCACGACACTCACACTAACTGGGGTCTGAGTTCATAGACAGGGTTCACAGCCCATAGATTCGGAAACAGTGCTGAGAGTCTGGCCTTGTTTCCACCAGCCCTTGGCCACTGCCACTGTTTGACCTTGGACAGAGGAAAGAGCCCAACTCTTTCCTCAAGTAAAACATTGTAACAACAGACACACAAACAAACGCAGTTCAGTCTTCACACAAATCAAACAAGTTTTCAGCACTGAAAGTCCTTGCTCTCAGAGCTTCTCCTGCACACAACTAAAAATACTCATAACACTGTTTTGCAAAAATCAGCAGGAGATGCTAGTGAAAGGAAACCAGAAAAAGCAAAGTACTTTATCTGATGCTGCAGTTCATACTACCAGATTGGTATGACGGAGATTAACTCTCCCTTCTTGCTATTCAGCTGCTCTTTGTCAGTGTGTGACTGACTTAGCCAAATGGCACTTACCTGCAATCTGCACCAACCTGAAGCATATTCTCGAAAATGATATTTGACTTTACAGGTATTTGAGAAATGTAATAAGAGGGAAGTGCTCTTCTGAAGCAGGAACAATTAGATTAACATTAACAAATTAAATAAGGCAATTCAATCTCACTACTAAAGAACAGCAAACAAGGTAACAGCAGAAGCTAGCAAGTTCCCAGTGATTTGGTGAGAACTTTATGTTCTACACTGCTCAAGACATTAAGACAAACCTGGGAAAGGACACTCCCCTCCAGCAGAAGGGGAGGCAGCGTTCTGTAGATGAACAAAACCTTTTATTTTTTCTTTTTAATTCAATCTTTTATCTCAAAACTTAAATAGACAACTAACAACTCAACACAGGTGTGTGCAACTCTCATGCAGCATCAGTTTCAGCAAAATCAGGCCCTTGCACAGCTTCTACACTTACTTTATCAATGTTCCCCCAGGAGCAAATACAGAGAGAAACAACAATACATAAAAATGCATTGAAAAATGAGAAGTGGGATGAAGAACACAAGAACTAACAGAACACTCCAGTGTTCGAGTATTTGCTGCTACTTTTAACTCATTACAATGGCTCCAGCTCTGTTACCTTATCCTCAAACTAGCTCCTGCCAGACAAGTTGACCCTGTGGTATCTAACCTTCCTTTGATCAGTCTCTGAAAGTGTGGTGGAAGCACATCGATCACAATAAACGGGCATGCTGCCACAGTACGACTACACTTAAAACAGCCGAGGTACTCTGCTGCACCACTGCCATAACTACTCAATAAGGACTACTCTGACCTGGAGAAAGTACCTCAGTAGAAGTTGATTATCATTGCCTAGGAAGTTTTTCATCCTCGCAAACCTTTAAATCAGTACAAAAGCTTGAAGCCTTTATTTGTGATGGCAATTCTAAATCAGCCAGCACTCCCACTAATTTCAGTGAGGGTTTGCCTGTGTGCTGGTATTCTAAATAATATTTAAACACCTTCACTTTCAGAGAACCAATCTCAGTGCTGAGCACTGTGCCAATTCAATCTTACCTGCTCAGACAAGCTATAAGTATTCTTCAGGCAAAGACTAGCAGACTACATAAGAAAAACAGAGATTTTTCAGTAAAAGACTCCTGAGTGGAAGGTAACAGATAAGCACGCAGGAGCAATACACTAGAACTCCAGAAGAAGCAGGAAACACACTCACATTCCTTGCTGAGCTATTACAGATAAGCCATGTACAGCATCTCGCCAATGAGGAAAACATTTTTAAAACAGACTCCCTCAGCTCTGCTTTTCAGTAAAGGAATCATAAGCACCTACTGCAGGGACAGCTTGAGTTACCTCTCTAGTTCTACTAGCCCTGCAGAGCCTGCAGCACATTTGCACACCATGAGAACTTTAAGGTGCTGATCCCAGAGACCTCTGCCACACTGCTGATGTGGCTGTGCTTGCAGAAGCTACCCTCAAGGACATACATCCTCTGGGATTTTGCTACTGAGGGCGCTTAAGGACAGCAGCCTGACTTAGGCTTCAAACGCACAACCTTTCCCATCCCATAGCAACCTTTCCTGGCTCTCCATCTCCTGTCAGCCAAGTAGGCTCTGTTTCACGTGTTCATCCAAAACACCAGCCAAGTTCCCTCCTGAGATCTGTCAATCACAGCAAGTGAGGGTATGAAAACCTGTGTTCTCGAATTGTTTAACTTAGTGTGGCTTGTTTAAAGAAACAGGCAAGAGGACACACACACAAGCAGATGGAAACAGCAGACTCAGCAGACTGAGGGAGGTGATGATCTTCAGCAGGGAAGAAGAAACAAGTGCCTTAAAACAACTAGTTATTCCACCAACAGGTGGAAGGTGCAGATTTTCTTGACAAGAAGCAATTCTGATCCAAATCTGAACCAATATGAGAATATTTTCAGAGAGGTGTTTCAGAGCCCAGTTCAAAAGTGGTAAATTACAGGAAGCTTGATTTGCATCCATGAAAGAAAAGAAAATCCCCTGCACATTTTCTGGGGGATCTGGACATTTCAGGGGTGGAAGAAGACAAGCATGTTTTTAATCCCCTCCACAGACTTAAACAATCAGCCCCATTCAGGGGTGCACTGATTGCAGACAGAGCTTCTTAATATCTAGATACTCTCACTCTCATTACTGCAAACAACAGCAGCTTTGTCCCTTAGGAGTCCAACTGGCCTTACTGCTTATCTTCACCTGAAGGCAGGAAAATCCTGGTTTTAGTAGTAAAACTATCCCTGCAGCAGCCAAAAAAAGACTTTGAAGAAGAGAGTTCATGATTTCAGGCAGAGAGCCAACAAAGTCTTCTGGACTCCATGACCAATGAAAAAGTGTTTTATAACATCATTTAATCTAAAAGAGGAGAAAACCATCCCAAGACAGATATAGTCCACATAAGCAAAAGCGTTTCAGTAAGAAATCCCTTCCTCTGGGGCAGCACGGTTAAAACTGCAGAAACACTAGAAGTCCTTTTGCAGGTATTTAAACTATAATAAGCTAGATTCTCTGCTCATCATGGGAATCATAAAATATATCGGTGGGATGAAGCCAGACAAAATAGGCAGATAAGTAAGAACAGCAAATTTACAGTTGCTTAACACAGGTACTTAATATTTGCAATCGACCTCACTGAATATTAATGCAATGGTGAAAAAGTTAAACATCTGTATATTTATCACAATTAGCTCTATATTTTTAGCAATAAACCAAGTGGATTAAAATTACAATTTTTCAATTATAATCTTTCCAGTATCCATATTTCTAGATGTTCACCTTCATTTGTTCTCAAGGTGTAGAGGTAGAAGCTCAGCTCCTGTTTTTCAGTTTACCCCTTGTCAGTAAAATCACACCTTACAGAGTGTTCTTTTCCACCAGTGTCTGTAAGACAGTGTCCCTACCTCCCTGGATCAGGATGGAGAAGCAGGACATGGCAGAAAATTTGGTCTCTTCCAAATGCTGATTCACTTGCTCAGGGTTCAGGGAGTTTTCAATGCACTGAGGAAACAGCTCTTGATTTTGTACACTGGCAATCAAGGAAGGCCTGCTAATATCAGAACTGGAGCACAGTTTCCTTGTGTTGAGAGCAGAAAAGGTATAATCAGCCCTTACTCTGAAACTCAACTGAGGTGCTACTGAGATATCAGCTCAGGCCTCTTGGATAGTGGCTCTGAGCTACCTGATCTAGCTGAAGATGTCTCTGCCCATTACAGAGAAGCTAGACTACGTGACCTTTAGAGGTCCCTTCCGACCCAAACCATCCTACAATTCTGTGATTCTAGGAATATACATACAAAGGTCTTCTGGGGCACCAGGGACAAATCCAGCCATGGATTCATAAAGCTCTTCATCGGAGCCAGGATTCAAGGAACATTTCATCAACAAATCAGTTGACAGATGAGCCATGGACTCATAAACAGACTCATCTTCCTCGCCTTGCATCAGCTCTTCCTTAATGTGACTCTTGAGCATATCTGCAGTTTCCTGGAGAAGAAGGAGAGCAAGAAAAAAGTTCAAGTTTCATTTAAATAAAGAATCTGGAGAATCAAAGCTAGCAAAAGATATCTCACTCTCCCATCACTGAAAAAAAACCTTCTAAAAGCATCCCACTCACTCACTCATAGTCTTAACTAAGGCTCCTCAAAGGAATTAAATCCTCTCTATGCTGTCTGGGCCCAGCCTTCAAGATCTATGTTGTAATAATAGGTAATGAAGGTGAAACAAGTTGGTGCTGACATTTTGAATAGCCATTACAGCCTCTCACTCGCTCAATTTCACATCCTACCTGATGTCTGCAAACTCCTAGAACATAAGCAAAGCTCATTCTAAAAATACAAATGTTTGTGAAAGGCTATTTTTGGGTCAGCGTAGCTGACCACTTACAAAAAAGCAAAGTTTTAGCTTTGGTGTAGATTCGGTTTCAGTTTCTTGGCATTAGCAGCAGCACGTTAACACCCAGAGTGTGAGTACACAGACCCTTTTCTGTGAGATTAACAGGAAACCTCACAGCAGGCAGCTGTTCGTGTAATACAGGCAAGTTTCGATTCACAGGACAGCAGAACCTTTTCTCACATATTTGCAACATGGAGTGCAGGGAGTGGAGTGGGGTGGGGGGACAGTGCAGATTTTCACCAAACCATGCATGGGAGAAAAATGCAAAGCTTCATCCCAACCTCCTTCCCAAGTTCCAACTATGCCACAAGCACAGCTATCTTAATCAGTTGCAAAAGCCCAAAGAAATCCCCAAGCTCCAGAGATGTCCAGTCTGGAAGCTTTCGTTAAGGCTTGATGTCTGTTTTCTACACCCTACCACACCACACTGCACCCTTTACTACCCCATAACTCCTGTTCCCACAACACTAAGTACCAAGCTTGGTGCCACTGCCCACATCTGCTGTTGGACAATGCAGAAGGACTGCTGCTTCCTCTTACCACATATTCATCAATGAATTGGCGGAGGTCCTTAAAGCCATGCTTTTCTGCTATGGTGTTTGGATAGTGGCCGTATTTGTTGGCTACACTGTAGGCCTGCAGTGCTCCAGGGCATGTAAGCAGCAAGGCGGTGAGGTTCTTCAGCCCATATCTTGCAGAAAAGTGAAGCAGTGTTGGCAATTCCTCATCCCTCTGATCTGTGAGGACAGGAGCCTGTTAGAATCTAAGTTTCTTTCCACTAGCAATAGAGCCAGTGCATGAGAAACACAATTACTAGCAAATACACAGACCAAAGCAGGTGTGAAAGCTCTGAAAAGTATATACAGTTTAAAATGGAGCTAACTGCACAAACTAACTGAGGTACCTAGCACATCTCCAGGCTTAAGTCCTATGACCCTCAGGGGATCCAGCTGCTTTAAGGCAACCACATCATGGTGTCACACCAGCCCAGTTGCTGAGTGCCCACTGTGCACACCTTAGAGCAGAGTAATGGGGTTAGGGGAAAAGTACTGGGCTGGGGAGAAACACCACATGGGACTGGGAGAAGAACAAGAAAGAAAATATGGGTGACATTTTGAGGACCATCATCTTCTCACTTTGATTGTGTCTGAAGCTGTTTACATAGCTGCATCTGCCACAGCGCAAGGAAGTGAGACTGATGTATGTAATAAAAAGAGAGTCACCTGATCCAAATAGCAATTCCCCTTCTATAGGCATCATCAAAAATTTAGTTACCTGGCTGAAATCTAAGATTTTTGAGACAGCCTGTGCAGGCACCACACACTACAGTGTTAAGGCACTCCAAGGTAAAATAACTGATAGAGATGAAGTTTAAAAATCAATTTAAAAAAATTTCGAAATTTCAACTTACTTGTTGTCATATCTTCTTCTTCCAGCTGGTTGATTCCAAACAGGTGCAAGCCACTAGCAGGGATGTTCTTCTTCAGTGACTCAGTCAACAGTTTGTCCAGTGCTTCTATGCTGTATGGCACAATTTTAAAGGCCTAGAGATAAATGGGACAGGGAGTCAGGAGATTCAGTTAAAGTGTGATTGATAAGGAGTTTCTTTATTTAGCACATATCAGAAAACAGTAGGCATAAACATCTTATCTCCTTTTATGACGAGGTGACCT